TTTTATTCATTTTTATATTTTTATTGGGCATATTATGATATATATTAAATCACTTCCTCCTGTCCTTGGCAACAGTTGTCCATGTTGAAAACTGTATAAATTTTAAAATAAAACACGCGGTAAGTTTTAAGATTAAATTAATAAAATGTGCTAATGAACCGTAATAATTATGTGTTTTTTAGGTTGTTGACCTCACGACATCTTCTACCAGAAGGTTCTATGGAACTCTGTCATAAATTAAAAGTATATAAGCAAATAATATATAAGACAAGACTAAAATGACACTTTTAATGATAATTATTACACAATAAAGATAACGCATATGCATATATTATTAGTAAAGTTTTAACGAAACTTTCGTGAAATATTTATAGGAGCTTTTTTTACATAGTTGAGCAAATGAGAAGAAAAATAGATCCCATTTTAATTGGAGAATTAAAGAGATAACTCGAATCCAACAAATTTATATTTCATTAAATCCAAGACTTTTGAGATTTGTTGTAAATTGTGAGTTAAGGTGAAATTATAATAAATTAAGTGAGTGTATGAGAAAAAAAGTATTTTACTAGAAATATTATAGAATATATTAGCTATAGGCATCATGCTGTTTGTCTATGGTGAAAATATTTCATGTTTATACTAGAATGTTTCGATTTATATATTATATAGAGTGACGTCACTTTGTTGTAGGATGTACATAAATAGAACTGATTGCGTGCATTTTATTTTAATTCTCTTTAGTAAAATAAATATGGCAAAAGATAAGAAACAAGTTTAAAGTAAAAGAATTAAGTCTTTATTTGTTGTGTCTGCGAGCCGAGATGCTTAAAGAATATTTTTAATTATCACTTTTAAATCCATAAAAATGTATCTTAATGTTTAGAGGATGATCGATTAATATTTGTAGTCGATAAGAAGTAAATAAAATAACATTAGTGAAATTATCGTATGATTATTGTATTCCTTATATTTAAGGTTTGAAAACCAATGTCATGTCCCTCTCTTGGCAACTTCTTGCCAATATTGTACCTTTAGTTTAAAATATCGAAACAAAACAAATCTATAATTTAAAATGGATCAAATTAAAATTAAATTATGAAGGTTTATTTAATAGTTTTAAAGTCACGGACAAATATCGTGACAAGAAATTTTTATTGTATATAAAAATGTTTGTTTTTTTCTGTTTGTTTTTTCTGTTTGTTCTTCGTCTGGACAGTTAAACAAGTATTTCGATTGTATCAAAGAAATTATTTATTGCCTCTGATTCATGAACGATAACCGCCTTCTGATAAATATCATTTTAATGTAAATGTGTTAGTGATAAATGTTAATCTATCTAGCTATTTATACTATATACTACGTATTTTCCGTGGTTTTTCCTGCATTAATGTAAGCTAAAAACAGTTATTTGCTTTATTCATATGGTTAAAATAAATTGTGATTTAGGCTTTTTATTTAAACATTTAAGAAATAATGAAATCTTTTGGGTTTTCATGCACGAGGTAAACTATTTTTTAATGTAGGTCATATTTACCAAAAGTTATAATAAAAAAAAAAGACACGTAATTTTTGGACACCCTGTAATTACGATGCAATAATGTTTTATTATAATTACGAAGTTCTGCAGCTTATAAAAGCTGTATTAATTTGAATATTATCTAGTTTTAAACTAAAAGAATTAACATTTGAATGCATAACATAAAATGTATCATTGTGTTTGTTTTCTTAACATTTATTTCAAGGTTTCATGAATCATCTATTATCAATGCGTGAACGCCTATCATAATTCAAGTTAAATTTAAATATTATTTAAATGGAATTAAATATTTATGAAGGAGGATTTGGAGACACATTAATATTATTATTCAAAGTTTGAGATGTTTTATCGAGAAATAATCTTGTCATGAATCAATTTAACAATTTAAATGGCTTTATAATTGCACTTTACATTATTTTTGTGCTTATAAAAAAGTTTACAACTATATTAATGTATAAAAGTTTTAAACAATTTGTGAATAATATATTTTTTGTTCTTAATATTTTCTTTGAAATAAAACAAGTTCTCGTAAAAACTTTACTTAGAAATAGTAATAAAGTACGTAAATGGTTGAATGTCATTAAATTTTTAAAATGACATATACACTCCTTATAATTAATGATGTAAATAGAAAGAAAAATCTTTATAATAAAAATTATAAAATGCGTAATAATCTAATCAATGTCATAGTTCAAGCAAAGGTCGACGCGGCGTGGGCAGGCCTCCCACGCTGCGTCCCATGGACAGAGGACAAGGTTGCGGGAACGTCCTGGATGCAGGTGGCACAAGACCGGTCATCGTGGCGACCTTTGGGAGAGGCCTATACCCAGCCACTGCTGCTGGCGACTCATGATCGTTTGGTCGTCAACGTTTTGATTTATTTTAGAGTAGCGGTCGCCCGAGGACCCGTCCGCGCGGAAAAAAAGAAACATAACATATGTTTGCCAAATTTCATCGAAATCCGTTCAGCAGTTCTGGAGATACCTTCAAACAAACATCCATCCATCGATTAATTTAAACATTCGCATTTATAACATTAGTAAAATTTTTTAGGATAAAAAAGCCTTCATCATCCGAAGTGACCATCGAAATGTCTATTGATTTAAGGACAAGTATATCGCAGCTTAACTTTAAGTTCTCTACCTACGCCGAATGAACCGAAGTCAAGGTTTTTGTTTACATTAAAATAAAATTCCAAATAATCTGATTCTACGCGTTTTGAACTATTTCCGTCATATAGTGTGAAGGTCATACAAGACTTATTACACAAATATATCAAACAATTTGCGGTTCTTTACCTTCATGTTTACATTGAACTGACCGATAAACGATCTAAGTTAACTAAATACCTTTTACTTAAGAACTTACGCACAAATAACTTTTTAAAGGATATTTACATAAGAAAATAATTATCTTAATTAATGTTAATAGTTCTGACACTGAGGGAAGCTTTGTTGTTTACCGAACCGACGTTAACTATTATTCTTTTTTAGTGTTTCGTTTAAATTTCATGGTTAAATGTATCTGATCAACGCGTTAATTTTTTCTCTTATTTAAAGTTATATTTTCTGGACTTTACTCTTATTTTTTAACTATAATATAATAATTAGTAATAATTTCACTGTATTTCATCAACTAGAATTATAAAGAGAAAATATTTGATCGTCCATTTGCTTGAATATGCTCCGAAACTTCTGAACCGATTTGAAAATTTCTTTCACTATTGGAAAGCTAAACTATCCCTAGGTGAGATGAGCTACATTGATTATTACATTTCTTATTATTTCCGCGATCAACTGCTATGTTTAATAAGACATCGATTTCTTTTTGGATAGACCTTGCAGATTATTCTCGTATATCAACCTTGATAGAAACCAAATAGAAGTTGACATATTAGGCTAACGCCTTGTACGTCTGGATGATAATAAAATGCACATTATAATTCTTCCAAAAATGTTCATTAAGTCACATAATGTTCAGTTCAATGCAAATCACGGGAAAAACCTCTGAATAATCGATGACAAGGCTAAGCGAAAGACTTAATAAAATTGATTCCCCAAAGGCAATTAAATTATTAGTATATTATCTTTTTAGAATCACATTGGATATAATTGATCCCGCGATATCAAATGCCCCGAACACATATTACGATGCAAATTTTCCCGGATACGAAATTTTAATATTTATTTAGCACATCGGGAAAATCATTACTTAGGTGTAAGGATAACCTTATAAATCAATGAAATATCTATATATTTATATCTTATGTATATATAAAAAACTAGTGTCACACTGTTAGTTATTATATTCCATTGAAACTGCTTGACATATTTTTTTGCAATTTTATATGCATATTTAGTAGGTCTGCAAATCGGCTACTATCTGCCTTCTAAAGTGCGGACGGAGTCGCAGGCGACAGCTTGTAATGTGTTTTATTTTAATATAGATCAATTCATCATCTATGTAAATTTGGAAGTAAGACAGTATATTAATCATTGCTGGAAAAAACAAACGATTTTTATTTAAATTAGATCCTTGAAAAGTCGGATTGGCGACAATTCTGCACTAAGGCTCTTCGAACACAATACCACGTAAATATTCGAAGCCCAACGATCTTGGTCTCTAAGTAACTTAATACAATGTGTAGAAGCGTCAATAGCCTAATGGTTAAGGATACGGATTTCCGATCACGAGGTCGAGAGTTTGAATCCCGTCATTTGACTATTGTCGTAAACCATATCCTAGCACAAGCTTAGCTTAATGATACAAGAAATATTAGTATCTAAAAATCTACTAATATTTTTGAAAAAATAAAAGGTTAAAAACAAAAATAATGTCATCATTTACACACATCATGATTCGCCAACATTTCTATGTATATGTCATCGCCAAAGAGAATCCCGCGCAACCTGTTTGTGAAGATTGTCGTGAGAAAAATCGCCGCTATTTCCAAGATGGCGGATAAAATCTATACAGTTAATGTTTGCTATGCCTGTATTAACTAAATAGACGATTCCCGTCGAAAATCCAACGTTGTGTACTAAGCGAGAGCAACGCGATTTACGCTGTAACACGCTAGTACGCTGATATTACGTGTACGAAGGGCGTAATTAGTATTACTGTGAAAAGTCAGTAGATATGACAGCTTTTTTTTAAGTTGATTTGTTGACAAGAAACCAGAAGTAGTAACAAAACAAGTCAATCCTGTATCCAGATCACAGACGAAATGTAATGGTAAAATTGGCGAGTAGGAAGACTAGTTAAAACCAGCTAATTTGCATACTTACTTTTGTAAGTTGATTTTATTTGATAAGTATATATGATATATATTTACTTACTTTATATACTAAATGTTTTCAAAAAGGTTATTTACCAGAAACAAAGAAATTATATTATTATTGTCATTACAAACGATAATAGGCTATATTATTAAATGCGAATGTATAGATGGACGAAAGTATATGTTTGTTTGAAGGTATCTACAGAACGGCTGCATGGATATTGGTGAAATTTAACATAGATGTAAAACATAGTCTGGAAGAACATATAGGCTATTTTTGTTTAAATCCGCCCAGATGGAGTTGCGTGACACATCTAGTAATATTAGGCTATATATCTTTGAGATGCAGACTTTATTTTTAAATTAAATTTTACCCCTGAAAATAACTGTACAAAAATATATAACGGTTAATTCAAGGCATATCTTATATTTACATTTATAATTATTAAGGCCTATAAAAATAAACACTTTTCATTATAAAGCAATAAAATGCAATGTACATTCCAACAGTTAGAGGAAACGTGATGTGTTGTAATAGATATGTTAATTATTTTGTACATAAAGTAAATTAACTTCCGAATATAAGGTAGGCTATGTACTTAATGAGGGTCACTGTGTTATACCGTGTGAACTAGATATTCTTATATATTTTCTATTAATTATAAAATTAAGATGTATAATGTAAAGTTTTATAATATATTTTTTATAATTGATATAAAATTTCAAAATGTTTAAGTTCAGATATAAAACCGCTGGCCAAATCAAAATTTTACCACAGAACAAAATCTTGAAAAAAAAAGTTGGCAGCGATTATACATGGGTTGTAATAAATATTCTTTTTTGTTCCAATATTCGTGTTTCCGAGCCCCCTGTAGGTTTAATGACAATGTTTTTTATTTATGAATAAGTGTAATTATGAATAAAAAACTGCGTTTATATGAATGAAATATATGTAAAATATATTGAGATATTTGAATAAATTTGAAATAATTTGCAAACTTTAAAACTATCTAGCGGCTAAACGAAGCAACTTTGGATAGAGGTACATAAGTTGAATTAGATCGTCATATTTACAAACAAGGAATTTATGGTACTCCGTTGTACACGTCATTCCTGGACACTCTGTATATAAATTAAATTGTGATAACATTAAATAAATACAATGTAAGCAACAAAATTCAAATTATAACATTTTCATGAATTTATTTTTAAGGTTCCGTACCTCATAGGAAAAAAACGGAACCCTTACAGGATCATTTTGTTGTCCGTCCGTCTGTTTGTCAAGACCCTTTTTCTCAAAAACGCGTGAAGGTATAGAACTGGAATTTATTTAACGAATATAATGAAGGAGTAAATATCACGAGATATATATTTTAATCATCATCATCATTAGCTCACTATACGTCCCCACCGAGGGGCTCGGAGCTTACCTTAAGTTAAGGGAGATTAGACCATATTATATTTTAATATTAAGATGAAACTAACTTCCCTGACCCAAAATATATCCATGCTAAATTCATGAGACAGAAATTCAGATGTATATTTTTAAGGATCAACACAACTTGGTTTAAATTACTTAAGTTGGTCTACACCTAAAGTACAGAGTGAGTAAATTAAGGGATTAGATCCATTTTTGTAAAAGATTTTTTTTATAAGTATTGGCAAAATCCTCTGTCATTCGGAGAAGTCGGGTAGAAAAAATTGTTTATAAAATAAAGTCAACTTTAAATAAATAATGATAACGTTATGTATATGTCATCTGGTGGTATTTATTGTGAAAAAAGAAACAAAACAAAATAAGACACTAAAATTATATCGCCTCATAATACTGTTAATAGTTTTCTGCAATCAAAGAAAAAATAATTAAGCTCGGTAAAAATTGTAACGCTTAATTTAACTGCAATTAATTATTAATTATTAATTAACATCGTAACTAAATCAAACATTTTTACTATTATTATTATATTCAATACTATATTACTCTATTAATTATTATATTAATTAATAAGTAAAAAAAATTGATTATAAAAAATTAAAAATAGTTAAGTATTTTTTGATTTATTGACATCGTAAGAGAATAATGTAAATATTTTTATTTACATACCATTTAATTCATAAATAACTGCAAGCCCACCGTCCAATAAAAACAATGTAATTAAAATAAATGTTATCATATTGTTATTTTTTTTACACTTCTTTCACAATATTAATTAGTCTAAGTCACTATATAAAAAACACATCTGTTCAGGACTGTAGTATGTTTTTAAATGAGTCAATAAGAAATATATTTACATTTGAAAATATACCAAACGTGCGTAATGAACTAGTTTACTCAAATACATTATAACAGCCGCTAGGAACACTGCAATTTTTTTATTCGTTTATATACAATTATATATAGGTCTACGTGACTTCATACAAGCACTTATAAATAGGTACTGAATATCCAGTAATAACAAAGTCTAAATAAAAAAAAACCAGTGTAAAAAAATGTCATTAAACTTTATAAAAAAAAAATATTTTTCTCTGGCGTTTTAATATACGATTTAACAAATTTGCGGTTAATTCTGGTCAGAGAATAATATATGTATAATTTTTTTTTTAGTATTTTAGGGTTATGGTTTCCGCAAATCCGTTAAGTGTAATTTAATATTTTTAATTTATTTTTTACGGAATAAATTGTTATATTTTTTATTATTTCTGGTTGTACTTGAATATTGTCTTAGTCACGCCTTGTTCCTCTAAGATTTCATACGTAATATGCTTATAAGGGTGTGCGAATAACTCGAAATTCGGAAATATTCGCTTCTATTCAAATCGAGCAATATTTACACACCCCTTATAGTTATCAATATTTATCTGAACCTAGGTAGGATGTTCTGAGGACATCCGAGTGATTTTTGTCCTAAAACTTAAAAGCCTTAAAACTTTTATACAGGTCATTAAAGCATCTGTCTCCGTTAAACGGTCACAAAATTATTGACTTTAGCAGTATTCTCATATCCTACATTTCTGACTTGTCAAGTCTTGACTTACCATATCTTGTCACTTACCCTTAGTAGGGTGAATTACAAGTTATCTAACTAATGCTGTAAACCCTTCTCTTTCCGTGTCAGATTAGTTATTTAGTTGTCCGCATCTGTGATTCCTCTGGTATTGCTGATGTCCATAGGCGTCGATGAACACCTCGGTGTTACCTCTGCTCGTTTGCCTCTTTCTCTTATTAAAAAAACAGAAAGATAACTGGTAAGAAAAAGAGAATACTTGAGTGCGATCACTTTATCTGGTCTGGGAGAGAGGGGCGCTGCTATCGCGGTTCTGCCAGGAGTTGTATTCCTAAAATGGTTGACTATGGTCTAGTCACCGCTAACTAAGGGGTTCGAGCTCCTCAGTAGGGATGTATAGTGAGCTGATGATCAAGTAAACCAGTAAATGCTAGTAAAAAAAAGCCCTTTTGTAAGTTATCGGTCATCGTGTCCGTGAGGCGCGACCGAAACTTGTATAACCTGTAATAAATGTTAAAATGAAAACTTTAAAACATTCACAAGAAGTCCGACAAACGTAACTGACCCGGTAAGAAAGGTATTCATATCGTGGTTCTGTTAAATAATGTAAAACACCAAATTATTCTTCTTCTTATCGTGTCATCTTCTCCCGAAGGTCGGTGATCATTATGGCAATTTCCACTCTTGACAACGAGGCTCTGAAAAGCAAACGGTTACTCTTTTCAAACCACGGCGTAGGTTCTTAAGCCGGGATGTGTGTTTTAGGTTAACATCAACTTAGGTATAGTAGAAATAATATATCATAAGACAGTCACAGTCTAAGGTTTTTGACACAATTATTCAAACATTGATAGGGCGGCGCTAATGAGCTATTCTAATTGAGTATCACTTATGCTCACCGGGTCAGATGTATTTATCGGACTATAATGTGTTTAAACTTTTAAAATGAGTTGTAAATTCATATAAACCGAGTGAGTAAAATCTGGAAGTTTCTATAATAACTCTAGCAAGTATGAATAATATGTTCATTCGGTAACACATTTTTATTAAATACTAGCTGTGGTCCTCGCATCCGTCTGCGCTGAATGAAAAAAACAAAATTAGTAGCTTATGTGTTCTTTCAGATTATATTCTACATTTATGCCAAATTTCAGCAAGATCCATGAAACCGTTCTGGAGATACGTTTAAACAAACATCCATCGAAACATTCGCATTTATAATATTAGTAAGATAATGTAGTTCCTATTTTTTTTAATAATCCAGGGGTTTTATACTCACCCTTACATATCTTTAGCAGATTTTTATTAATTTAATAATTTTTCGTGGTACCATATCAATATAAACTCGATGCTTTGGCGCTGGCGGTAGCGGTGGTGAGAATTTGAACTAAAAATACAGATAATATTAACTGTCACTAACATTAGTAGACGCCTTTAAGCCGGAACTAAGCAAAAACATTTCCAAGCAACTGTCTATTTAAAGGTCAATATAATGTACAATGACTAACGCATTGTCAAATGTAGAGGAAAGTGCGTTGCTGTTTTTCTGCAAAATGTCGCCGTGGGCGGCCCTAAGGTCAACCAGTGTATATCAAAGTTATCCATTAATCAATTAACATATAGTTAAAGGGAAGACAGTTAAAACAAGTTGTCGTTACAAATGTTTAATAGCACCTGTTCTGTTATCAACTATATGTTTATTTAACGCGATAAAACTAAATATATATTCGTTATTTAACATAAAATAGCAGTCAATCTAACTTATCATAAGACTAAACCAATTGACTGGTTTATTAACGCAAACTCGAAACTATTAGGGACTGGGAAATGGAATCTTTAAAATTTGCACAGATATTTTTGTGACAACAAACAAAATATTTTATTATAGTTTATTTTGCGTCCTGGAGGCCCAAGTCCTCTTTCCCTTCCCATCCTTTTTCTTATAAGGAAAGGATGGGAAGTGGCAGTGGACTTTCCGGATGAGAGGATGCATGGAAAGGGGAAATATTTTCTTTCTGTGCATCCTCTCCTCCGTCGATTAAAAGTAGGCAACGCATATGCCATTGCGTATGTCGATGGGCAACGGTCACTTCGCTATTTCAGCGATTTCAGGTGGCCGCTCGCTCGTTTGCCACCTTATAATATAAAAAAAATCATCCCCTAAAGATGTAAATTAAGACGTAGAAAATTTTCTTCAAGAAATATATTTTCTTCTGATTTCTTATTCAGAAGAAAAGAAATTATTCAAAAACTGATAAATATTTAAAAATTTTATCAGGGCGGAGAGTAGAGCAGATTTTTTGTTGCAAATAAAATTGTTCTTTACACCATTACAATAAAGTTTAATTGTATTTGGTACATATTTTTCATCAAGAGCTAGAGATGTGTACAATAAAGTTAGACCTTATTTCAATTTACTAAAGTTGAATTTTAATTGCGAAAAAAATCTCCTCTCTAGTCTGAACGGACCTTTACTGATGCTTTTCCAGTATTTAGCATATTGCGATCCCTTACATTATCAAAGAAAAAACAGAGACAACGATATCTGTTAACGAACTTTATGGTTTCAATGTTTAAATGTACGCTCACAATTCGGTCATTGACCCATCTGTACGTTGCTGGATAAAATTATTTTTGTATCTTAATATTATATTCGACATTAATCTTGTATATTTTACCTAAATAGATTGAAATAGGCTTTAATTAAGTTTGTTTTTCTACTATATATGTCAATGTCACTGACAAAATATTATGAACTTTATAATTTTATAATCATAATTTAAATAATTCATCAGAAACGCGTTTACAAATCGAACATAAAAACATAACTGCGGAAAAAACTTCGTCTTCTTCAGTCTTCTTTTTAAAAGGAATTTTAACTCAAAATATGAATAAGGCTTCATATAAATCAATAATCGTTGGTCATAACGACATCCTTCTCATCTTTGATAATACAAAGATAATTATGTTTTATACATTTTGGTTTCAGAAACCAACGATAAGAAATTAAATATTATTAATTAGTTCTGTCACGATGTTGCCTATTTTATTTTTAATTAGAGTATTTAAAACAATAACAACGAATTCAAGGCAAAAAAAAAACTTGTTAAATAATCAGATGACATTGATATTTGAATAAAAAAACTTTTTTGCATACGCACTTATTATTTGACTTTTAAGAGACAGGACCAGTTATGAGCGCACATTCCCTTCTGTATAATAAAATCGAACAATAAGTTCTAAACTTGTTTGTTTGTGTGCTTGTTTTTTGTAAATCCTGACGAAAATTATGACAGTCCCAGCATGATAGCGCCACAATCTTTTTTGATATTCCAAAACTTTTCATCTACGTCAATAACTCTAACGAATTAATGTCATTTAAAAATGAAATTCATTATTTTAAACTTATCTAAGGTTATTAGCGCCTATAAATTTTTGTTTTCCGCGGCTATAATGAAATACTCCGATGACTCGACGACACTCAATAATGTCAATTCCGTTACACCAATTTTATTTTTGACGAAATTGGTGTTAAAATTACAAGAAATTGGTTCTGTAAGTTTTGCACAATATTGCGAGTCTGCAAATTTTTGAGTAAAAAATGTTTCAATTTGATTTACATATGTGTGATTGTCATCTTCACCTCTCGCGGAAAGTAGCAGAATTTATTAGTAAATCAGTGTCTGTTAGTCTAGTCCATTTATCTATAGTCAAAGCGCTTTAACAAATATTGTAAGTAAATATTATATTTGCATATTTGACCCTGTTTCTTCATATTTTAATGATCTCTAATGAATAAATAACACATTGTTATATTCAAGAACATTTTTAGGTTATGTATTTTTAATAATGCATGTATATGTTTTTAGCCTCCTATATGCATTATGTGAATCGGGAAGAGAACAACTTTAATATAAGTTTTGCCGCGATACATAAATTAAAAAACCTGCCTTGTACGTGACATAGTAAACTAATTACTAAATTTACAATATTCTGGTACTTAAATACGTATATGTATGTATGACAACTTTAACACCAAATGTCATCCATTATCATGCATAGACATCCAAGAGAATATGCAAATATCATAAGGTTCTTGTTTTGTTTGATATACATTTATTGGTTAACTTTATAAGGCTTAATACTTCCTTATGTAACCTTACGTTACTCATAGCCTTGTTCATGTTAATATCGCCAGGCCATATATGTCCCTATCGAAGAACATGAGCTTATGTTAGTGTCTGACATAGTACAGGGAAGTTGACCAGTAGCGGCGTTAGGGTTAAGCGAGGTGGGGCGACCGTCCTGGGCGCCGGGCAAAGCAGGCGCCGCAGGCGTTAATGTCAGATGCAAAGATACGCCTGCAACGCTACCTAAGGTACTCCATCTTTAAGAGATTTTTCCTCGACATCAATAATAATGGGGCGCCAGAAAAATATTGCGCATGGCGCCGGAAATACTGAAACCGTCCCTGTGGTTGATTTTACACCGTTATAACCGTTAGTTTTTGAGACCGAAAATTTATAAAACATGTAGTCATCCCTTTCATTATCTTTGATAAAACAGAGATAACAATATGTCAGTATTATTGTATGTATGTATTAAAGTACGTGATCTTACGATTATTATAAATGCGAAGTGGATGTATGGATGAATGGTTATTTGTTAGAAGTTATCTTTAGAACGGATGTATGGATTTATATGAAAATTAGCATAGATGTAGAACATAGTCTGGAGGAACTCATAGGACATTAATTAAGTTTTTTTAATTCAAATTGAAATATGGCACAGTTATAGAACAGTCTCGAATAAAACGTTTTACTACTATTCGGTTTTAGTTCCACGCGGACGAAGTCGTGTGTGAGACCTAGTTAAACTTATTCGCTTACTAATAATTTGAACCTTACCTTGATAAACATTAGTATATGCAAGGCTGTAGCATTGATTTCTAAAAATTTAATTTTGGCAAGACATCGACTTAATATGGAGTCTTAAAGGAATCGATGTACCAATACAAATGACTCATTCAATAATACCTATTATAAAAACAAATAAAACTATGTGTACTTTGGTTCAATTTAAAAAAATAGTTTCCTTATTAAAATTGTTAACTTCAATATAAAATATTTTATTATTAAAATAGATATTTACTGCATAATACCAAAGTATCATGTAATTGGAGAGAACAGAAAAAAAATTAAATACTATTTTTTACTTTGAAGACATTTCATATGTATATAGTTTAATCACTGACTTCTATAAATGGACTGGATATAAGATGTGTTATTTTGTGCCTATTTGATTATCGCCTGGTGGTAACGGTCTATAGTGATGGTGTGGATTCCACTTAATAATATAGTTGGAATTACCTGTCCCGTAACATCAACAGGCAAGATAATTCGGAATAAAGCGAAAGCTAACAGTGGTAGAGCCCGCTTTAACATCTTAGCACGAATTGGCCCGGCTCGACCGTTGAAATACCACGACCACACAGAAGACAGGCGTTGAAGTAGAAGCAATTCAGCGTTTCGTCTGATGAGTGTACGTCCCGAAGGCCTAATTTAGTCCCCTCCCTTCCCACCCTTTTTCTTAAAAGGAAAGGAGAGGATGCATGGAAAGGGAAAATATTTTTTCTGTGCATCCTATCCACCGTCGATCAAAGGTAGGCAACGCATATGCAATTGCATGGTTATGGGCAACAGTCTCTTCGCTTTTTCAGCGATTTCAGGTGGCCGCTCGCTCGTTTGCCACCTTATGATATAAAAAAAGCGAAAGCTGTTATATCTAAGCAATCGCCTATCCTGTTATAAAGATCAGTGCGTGGAATCTTTACCGTGAGTTTTTGAAACCAAAATGCCCGATTAAAATATATTGTTATCTCTCTTTTTGTCAAAGATAATGACAGGGATGACGATTTGTTTTCTATAAGATTTCGGTATCAGAAACTCACGGTTAAAAAACAAAATACGAAACGAGTGGTTAGAACTGTTTTAGGTTAATTTATTTATTCATGATAGAATCGTTTAAGTCATTTGCATTTTAATTTCTATTTAGCGTACATTATGGCAAGGAAGTTGCGTATATAATAATATATTTTTTTAATAAATGTAGGCATAATAAATTATTTATTTTATTATCCATTAGAGTTAAATTTTTACTAACATGGTAAAAACCTTGAGGGCTAAACAAACATTACGGTTATTACGAATTCACATTAAGTCAACCAAAATAAAACAAAAAAGTTTTAATATTTGTTAATTTTGTATTTCATAGATAAACAAATAGTATATGAAAAATGTTCTCAAAATTTAAATAAATTAATGATAATTACTTTATATTTTTTTGCAGTTTTAGTTTTTTTAAACCTTTTTTCCAATAATTACTAGTAAACTAGTTTAAATAACACTAGCAAATATATTTTAAAATCCATAAACATTCATAATAATTCTCATTTACTTTTACCTAAAATTAAAATATAAATTATTATAAATCACCAGTCTATTTGTAGTCTAAAGGATACAAAAGTTTTAAGAATTGTGAGATTGGAGCTTCGACAAGAAACCAGAACGGAACGGCGATAAGAAAAGTTATCACAGACGTGCCGATCGTTACAAGAATCTGAAACAATAATAATTGCTATAGTATCATAAGTCAATCATTGTCGTAGTATAAAATAGCGAAGGGACCGCTGCTCACAGACATCCGCATTTGAAGATACATTGCCTAACTGTAATCAACAGACTAGGGGACGTACAGATAGATATTTCCACTTCCCCTAAAAGAAGAGCTCCGGCAAGTACACCCACAAGATAAAACGCGGAATTACTTTCAGTTTACGTCCTTATAGAAACCAGGATTCATGAAGAAGATTCCTGTCCTTCTACGTGTAATAAGGTATTTGAGGTCCAATTCTTGCTATCTTCTCTTTTAAAGGCAAAGGGTAAATTTTGAGGCTGACATGGAGATGTATAGTTTTTGCCTTATCCAATACTTTCGTTAAAGCTAATAAAATTCATTAATATTTTCCATCTTTAGGTATTTTAAGGTATTAAGTAAACTTACTATATGAAACTCTGTTATGTAGATCAAGTTAGTTCGAGTTCCAGTAAGAACTTGTATAACAATGAGGTGGATGAGATACGCAGAGTAGGAAAGTCGCGCTGGTGTTGTCCAGCCACGCCATTCCAAGATAGATCTATAAGTATCTGAAATATTATAATATGAGGTTAACAAACAAATTCAAACAAAGATTTCGAAGACAGGACTAAGTGGAAGATAACCAAACACTGTAGACTTTAAACATTGCCCGGGAAATTGCTAGTTATAATTAAGAAGACTGAATATTTGTTGGCGAAACTGATAGCTAATGAGATAAACGAATTTTTATACTTAATTAAAAGATTTATCGACTTGTCATACTATACGATAGACCAGCGATACGGTAAGCTTGTATTTTCAAGGCCTTAGTAGTCAGCAGATAAATGTTTTTGGCTCTATAACAAACCTTCGATTCTGAGTACCATTCCTAATATAATCGCACTTATCATGATACCAGCAGTAGCTCGCAAGATGCCTGAATGTATCGCTTTGTAGATGAGAGGAGCGTCCACACCGTCCATATAGAATATTCCACTGGTGAGTATTCCTGCCATACCAACCGGTACAATCGCCCAATACCAATATTTGTACTTCTAAAACAGCAACACTGAAGCATTAGCTTTGTGTATTGTTAATTTCTAATTAATTTAAGTAGAAAAAGATATTAATTAATAGGGTTTGAAATCATTATAGAACTGCAAAAGCTTGGAATTAAGTTATTGCTATGAAATTGCTACAGGCGTAAAGGAGAAAGTGAATGAATATAAAAATTATTTAAGGTGTATAGGTTACATGATTTCACAGTGGTGTTGATGATAGGCACTTAATTACCGTAGATATTTTTGTGTTCATTTTCTTTTTTTGTAATTTACTTATCAAAAGTCCGAGGCTAATGCCAGTTATGTAGCAAGATATGTTTGTGTGAGTGCGCCTATACGCATTGAATGTAGGATTATTTCTGAACAGTGCTCGAACGAATCTGAAAAAATTAAGAGTGACATTAAAAAAGGTCTCCAGTTTTATATCACCAAAATTCTTATAATACTACTGCATTAAAACAGACTTTATTGCGTCAAGGCTTGTAACAAATATTTTACTAAAAAAATTAATTATGTCAAATTTATTAAGAGGTGTCAGAATTAAATACATACTCGGGAGTAATAGTGAAATACGCATGTAAATCTTGATAATACGTTTCTAAAGCAGGAATCACCAAAGAAATACTAAATAACAATGACAGTATTACAATTCTGGCCCTATTACTCTTTGCCACTCCTAATATAACCAATCCAAGGATAAAAAGATGCGTATCTGCTGCTAAATACCTGAAAGAATAATTGAAAAGATACATATGGAAAGAAAATTTAAGGATTTAAGTTTTTTTGGCAAAGAAGCGAGAGGTCATCTGAATTCACTACAATAGTAAAGCGCAATTGCAGATTCGTTGCTTCCCTATAATCAACAGAAGAGGGGACGCACAGAAAGAGGATACATAATTCCCCTTCCTATGCGTCTGTTAGGACTTACAGTGTATTTTATAAATTCTTACCAAGTATGCATCATGCATTGTGATCTGTCTATGTAATTGTTCACGTAGAGCATATTTAGCCATCCGTCACTTCGGCAGTCTTGGACTTCATTGTATACGACTTTCTAAAATATATTAAAGCTATTAGAAGAACGTCGGTGGCTCGGGGGATAAGCACTTGACTTGAAATCTGCAGGTCCTGGGTTCGAATCCCGCCATGTACCAATGTGTTTTTCGATTTACATATGTACATTTATACGACGTTATTACTGTGAAGGAAAACATTGCGATACAACCTGCACTTGCGAAGACATTCAAAGATATGTGTGAAGTCAACCAAACTGCACTGGGTCAACGTGATTAACTATGGCCTAGTTACACCTAACTTAGGGTAGGTTCCGAACCAATCAGTGGTAACGTATTGGCTGATGATGATTAAAGCAATTTATTACAGAGTTACTTTCCCGTTTACATTATTATCTAAAAAAATTACAAACTTACATGCCATAATGGTCCAGATCCGAAAAATCTGGCCCAAGTCATGGTAAATGCTAATACAACAAAATACGGAGGAGTTAATCTGAAATAAGATATCTACATTAATATAGCAATAGAAATACTTATACTGATTTCGTTATTAATGAACTAGTTGTTGCGTGCGACTGCGTTCTACGTCTATGCCAAATTTCAACGAGATCCGTTGTGTCGATCTAAACTTTCGCATTTATCATATTTGTTGGAACTATATTATTACTATACGTCCATAATATTCTTACCTTAGCCATCTTAAATATGTTCCATACGGTATTATCTTCCAATTTAATTTTTCTTTTGGCACAAACATATCCAGATTGTAAGCTAACATACAACCAGAAATAACAAAGAATGTCTGGACGAGTACACTGCCGTCAAACAACAGGTGATATAATATACTGTTGTACGACTGTAAGCAAGTAAAAAAGATGGAAGAGTTATATTTATTTAAGCTTTGCACACAATAAAATTATAATAGAAATGGTTAAGTACTGGTGAGCTTAAGTCTAAAAGAGTTATCTTACAGCTGACCGTACCATAGACGATTTTTAGTGGGTTATATGTGAATTATTCAGTATTATATTTTTAATTTTTATATACCAAAGGTACCAACGAGAAAGTGGCAATTTACCCTCCCATAAAGTCCTCTCATATGCTTCACCAACTTTCCCTTTTCATCATATCAATATTAGAAAAAGTTTGGTAGGTGATGATTAAAATTTGGTACACAAATTCGTGGGACGAAAGCAGAATGACTTCCACTTCACCCTGTCTTCTATGTGGCTGTGGTGACGAGTCCATTCGTGCAACTCTACTTTAGAAGGGAATTGCTTTAAATCGACTCTTGATATGCATAAAAACTTACATCTTCTACTTTCTTGGTATTGTCTCCGGCTATCATAAATGGCAGCATAGAATGGAAGGCTACCACTAAAACTGATGATATCAATCTGTAATTAGTTATTTATATTTAAAGAAATCCAAGCGCATAAAATACATTTGCTATTGCAGATGGCTACGGTAAGTGATCACGGAAGAACAAAAAATAGTTTTCAAACATCTTTACAGATTTCTTATGTATTCCTTATTGTTAAAATATACCGAAAAAAATTTACATTTGAATAACAACTTTTAGGTATTAAGGTGGCAACACTGTATTTAAGTTTTTTTTTGTTTGTGTTAATGAAAGTACATTACAATGAATTTCATTTAACTTTAAAAACGAACTAAATCATGTTTAAAAATTATTTTTAAAGTTCTCATGTATGGAAAGTACCAAAGAGTGCAAAAAGTTTGTTTTTACAAGTACATAAATATTTGAAAAGTAAATTCAATAGCGTTGACGCTTTCTTCCTTTCTGAATTCAAAAATTAACTTGTACCTCATTCCATTAAGTCCGAGAAGACGGGAATTCCTCCGCTTCGCAACTTTACTCGTAGGTGCCGTAAGTTTGCGCCAGTTTTGCTTTATTGAGAAACATAGTAGCCATTTGTTGCCTGAAATTACAAAGTCTAGTTTCTAAGACGCAATAAACCAAAGTCGCAAAAATCTTCGTTTAAAACATAATGCTATCTCTTGTTTATCGATGGTATAGAGAGGGACGTCATTATGTTTTATACAGAGATTTTGGTTCAGAAACTCAAGGTTCGAAATAGCAATCAAATAAATTCCAGCTTGTTACAGTCATGCGTTCCTGAGAAAAAGGGTCTTGACAGACAGATACACGGACAACAAAGTGTCATAAGGGTTCCGTTTTTCCTTTCGAGGTACGGAACCCTAAAAACCTGATTTGTCAGTTTTAAGTCAAATTTACGTATGTTTGAGATTAAAATTTTAAATATCTAGTTACTTGTTCCACTCATTGAGTACGTACTTGATTAAATCTAGCAAAATATGGCTTATTTATTCCATTGCCAACATTAATGGAAGCCTACTTATCTCTGGGCAATATGCGTAATTTGTTTATCTTGTATATGTATAATGCAATAAGCAATTTCTTACAACCTTTGAAAAATTCTTTGCGTTAAGATTGTATTTACATATTTTGATTTTTTAAGGAATATATAATATTATCATATTAGTTATTTTGACGTATTGTATAATATAATAATTAGTTCAAACTGTGCCGACCCTCGAAGTGCATAGGGAAAGTGGAAGAAGATAATGATGATGATGAGCAGATTATTAATAGTAATAATTGATGATAATATAACTAAGAACAGAAGAGAGAAGATAAAGCCATCAAACTTGAGAGTATATTGAAAAGAAAAAATACGATTCCAAGAATGCGGCCGATTTTTGCGACAATTCAGAAAGAAAATTGAATTAAAAAATATAAATAAAAATATTTATTACCTTCTTTTCCTTTTATGAAAAAATCATAAACACTTCCTATTACGTTAAATGTAATTAAAAAGAAACAAAACACTGCAAAGGCAATATCGGTCAGTTCAAACTTATCACTCTGCTTTTTATGATTATTGCAAAATATATCGTCTAGTTTACTTTTCAACTTATAATTCTTCCAATACGTATCATTTAAACATCTCTCTACGATTATTTTAAAATCTTCTGATGAGTTTTCCTTCAAATATTCTGAACACATTTTGCTGACACAAATGCCGTGAAATAGCCTCGTGTGGTTATAATGTGTGTCTTTGCGTTCGCTATATTCCTGTAATATCAAATAAGTTTTAAGCATCAATAGCCTAATGGTTAAGGGTACGGATTTCCGATCAAGTGGTCGGGGGTTCGAATCCCGTCATTCGACTATTGTCGTAAACCATATCCTAGCACAAGCCTAGAGATTAGTTGGAATGGTAAAAGAAATATTAATAAATTTACAAAAAAATCTGCTAATATTTTTATATAAAATAAATTAACACATCGTACAGGAATAAGACCTTCCCCTAAGATCCTTAGGTTACTACAACATTAAGCCGAGAATCATGACATCTCAGTGAGTTTGTGCCCAAAAAATTTGATGAAACGGTCATGCTTGAAATTGGGTTGGATAAAATAATTGGTTGGATTAATACTAAAAAACAATAATTATGGTACTTATAATATAAACAACAAAAAACCTAATGTGTTAAAAACCTTTTTTTTTCAGAGAAGAATGCTTTATGCATACTCCGCGCCCCAGGGGGGACGCGGTAGTTATGTGGGATTCTCCTCCATAGCGGAGGCATACCCACTAAACCCCTCTGTTCCTCCAACGCATCGGGACGGGACCACGGGCACGCTTTCGCTCTCGTCCGCGGCCGATGTGTTAAAAACCTGATGTAAGGACAGCCAAGGACATTCCTTTCTTAGTTTGTGTCCTCTTTGCATTTATATTACAGATTTAATCTAGATCAGATAGTGTTATAGAATATACTTCATATTTCTTACAATTACAGTTTAGTAGTTGCTTTTGGTATATTTAAAGCTAGAATATTTTACGTAACCAGTGTAATATTTGAATCTATTCGATTAACCGGGAGTTTCTGGGACCAAAATTCCCGTTTAAAACATATTGTTATCTTTTTTTTATCAAAGATAATGATAGGGATGACGATATGTTTTATACAGTGATTTTCATCTCAGAAACCAATCGTAAATTGATCCTAAAATATGAAATAAAGAGGTGAAGTTAGTATCCTTTAATAATGTTTTGTATAATTTAAGCAAAAGTATTGTGTTAAATAAAAAAAAATAGTTATAAGATCTAGATCGCCTTAGGAGGGTATTCATGGTCGAGTGAGCGAGGTGCCTTATTTTCCTTAATAATGTTGGAAAAACGAAACAGTAGAGCGTAACATGTGCAAAAATGTTTGCAAATATTATGATCCACTACTAATCGTTGGAAGCAACATAAACTGAAATAATCACGAAGAACTATATAATGTATAATGTGACCTTGAATAATAATTTGCAACGCTATTAAGAGATATTATGAGAATATAAAAACAACTTTTAAAAGGAATAAATACAAAAATTTCAGTTGTTTTTTTTTATATCATAAGGTGGCAAACGAGCGAGCGGCCACTTGAAATCGCTGAAATAGCGAAGTGACCGTTGCCCATAGACATACGCAATTGCATATGCGTTGCCTACCTTTAATCAACGGAGGAGAGGATGCACAGAGCTAAAATTTTTTCCTTTCCCATGCATCCTCTCATCCGGAAAGTCCATTTCTACTTCCCGTTCTTTTCCTTATAAGAAAAAGGGTGAGAAGGGAAAGAGGATTAGGCGTCCGGGACGCACACTTATCAGATGAAACGAGGAATTGCTTCCACTTGACGCCTGTCTTCTGTGTGGTCGTGGTATTCCATCGGGCGAGGCGGGACAATTCGTGCGATGATGTTAAAGAGGGCTCTACCACTGTTCATCATTGTTACTGGAAAATTCAAGAACCCATTTTGTGTCAAAACTAGTAAATAGCTTTTGATTATCATCGATAAATATATTTTATTACTGACCTGAATCATATTGTAAAGTTCATTTTCTTCGTCAGTAACTAGATCTATATTCGTAGTACAATATATACCATCTTTTTGATTAACGCATATTTCGTAACGATCGAAGTTAAACACTGGTGGCATTCGAGCATACTCCTCATCTAGAAAAAATCGGTAAACATTTAAAAGTAGACAATAATCTTACTAATATTATAAAAGCTGTATTTAGAAAGATGGATGAATGTTTGTTAGAAGGTATCTCAGATTTTGTTGAAATTTGGCAAAGATGTAGAACATAGTCTCTAAGAATATTTAGGCTACTTATAAAGTTAGTTATTAATATTCCGCGCTTGCGAAGTCGTGAGCGACAGCTAGTTTAAAATAAATTCATAACAACGATAAAAATGATACAACGATTGAAATCATTGTATGTAATTATTTTATTTACATTGGACCTAGCAGGAATATTTGCGACAAGCTCCTTCGTATGATCATAGTTACTTATGTGATAATTAGTGTGAGATTTTTGGTGTATTTTGCACCCAATAGGGTGCGTTGCACAAATTTTGACAACAACGGCAAGCGACTGGCTTTCGCCGTGACACAGAAATATTGACTCGTGCTTGTGTTCGAACCTTTATGACATTGCATTGCTTAAGTCGCTTAGCGATTTAGCGATTAAAATCGCCAGGTTTCACATTATTTTTTTTAATAAGCAACAGTATTGGTGGCCAGTACGATCTCCTCGTTATTATGAAATGTTCTTGTCTATCAAAGAGGTCGAATGTATCAAATTTAACCAAACATCTAATAAAGCTGTGGTACCCATGGCATCCTTGACCTTTGTTAACAATATAAGAAATTAAAACTGTAATTAAAGTTAAATTTTTGACATTAAATATATTTTTCTTCATCATCTGACAAAATCTGACTGGGCCATAGTCAACTACGCTGGCCAAGTGAGGTTTGGTTGACTTAAAATTTTCTTTATTTGTTTTATTCAAGAAAAAAAATTGATAAAATAATTATATAGGTTAAAAATATATGAATTACAAGTAAAAGTATACTTACCATTCAAATGATATATCACGGCTGTACTTTGAGCAAACACATAAAATAAAAAAAATAAAATCATATTTCTTTCTTTACACTTGAACACGCGATATTGATGCGCGCGCGTCAATTGAACAAAATAATACTACAACCGCGCAGTGGAACTTTTATCAGTAATATGTTAAGTGCTGTTAGGTTTTATATCTCGAAAATGGAAATTTTATATTTTTTAATTAGCTTTTTATAAATTATGTTATTAACCATATACATCCTTTGTTATTTCCGCGTATTTCGTTAATAGATCTAAATAGATGAATGAATTCATAAAGGGTGATTATGAATAGTAGGGGTCTAAGCGGGGATTTTTGCATTTTTTTTTACTTTTGGAGTGGCTCTATATGGAGCGTTTCATTTGTGATTTACTATTAAGTCCAAAAGGTGTCTCCTTATGTGTAACTGCAACGCTCAAGTAAATCCAAAAATCCCCTCTAGGCCTCCCTATCTAGAAGTGAGTCTAAAATTAATTATAAATTGATTAAAAAGACAGAAAACTTTTGTGTCGAACCTATATAGACTAATCAGAACTCAGAGATGACTAAATAGAGACTAGATTGAATTGAATAGGCATTTGCTAGGCTAGCGCGTACCATCTTACAAGGCAGGCGTTTCGTCTGACGAGTGTGTATGCCGGAAGGCTAATTTACTCTTCCTTTCCTTCCCACCCCTTCCTATAAGGTATGGGAAGGGAACGTGGATTTGACGGAGAAGCGGATGCATAGGAAGGGGAAATAATGTTTTTTGTGAGTCTCTTTCTCTCGATTAAAGGTAGCAATTGCAGAATTCAAGTAGCTGCTAGCTCTTTTGCCACCTTATAATATTTAAATAAAACACTTAATCAGCTACAACTGAGTTTTATTTTTCGTATTATCATGAGATGTTTTGAGGAGTTGAGTGATCGGCGATTCGACAAGTAACCAAAGTGGTACAGCAGCTAAGAAGCTTACGGCGATTGATCCCACGCATGACATTATCTGAAATTAAATAATAGATTATCGTTATTCAGATTTGTCAGATTAGATTTAGATTGTTATATCGCACTCTTCTGATATTATTTGATCATTAGTGTAAACTTAAACTTCCACTGACGAAATACCTATACAAAACGACAGAACTCAGTTATTTAAAACATATATCTTACTTTTACTTTCTTCTTACATTATAAATCCGAAAGTTTAGATGGATGGATTTTAGAAGGTATCTCCGGTACGGTTCAACAGATTTGATGAAGTTTAGCATACATATAGAACTTAGTCGGGAAGAACAAATAGGAAAATATGTATTTTTTTAAATCCGCGCGGATAGAGTGGCGGGCGACAGCTTTTATAAGTTTTTCTCCAGTGGAAACGAACTGTAACTTACAACATGAGGTATCGTGACATGGTTTAATGTAGTCCTAGAATATGTAAGAATCTGTATCAGCATCACATGTAGTACGTAAGCGCAGTATGACACGCGGACAGTCGACGTCCAGCCTTGCCATTCTAATATCACCCTGTAGACAGCTGTGGAAATATAAACTTGTGCTTTATTGTCGTAGAATTAAGAGTCAGTTTGCCTTGAGTATTATTATACTGAATATTACAGAACAATAAGTGAATTACTAAGGTTCACAATCTAGTAAATACTCTTTACAATAATATTCTAAGAGTGATATCTGATAGCTGGCACATTTGCTATCATTTTATGAAAAAAAAAATTTAATTTTTACGTAATTAGTGTTCATAGCATTAAATAGATTCAATATATTATAACACCAAAAACAAAATAGGTTTAAGTAAATCTTTAAATATGAATTTGAGGGGTACACCAGTAGAGGTAGGCTTAACCAGAGATGGTTGGATTGCTTCAAAAGTGACGTTATTAAGAAGGGAGTAAAGATTAAGTCGGAAGAATGATCTAGGGAATAAAAACGGAGTGCCCCTCAAAATGAAGAAAACAAGTACAGGATGTTCATTATTTCTATTAGTATATTTACTCACTTTCAACTTTAAACACCATTCCTAAAATCAAGATGAATAAAAGAAGTCCAATCACAGTTCTGTATGTGCCTGCATAAATAGCTCTGATTATGACATGTGGGGTAACACCGACCAAATAGAACAAGCTACTGCAGAGTATTATTATGACCATCATGGGAACAGTTGCCCATACCAAATATTTGTATTTCTGGAAAATAAAACGTTGTATCAACTCCTTGTGATTACAAAACATTTGGTTTCCATTGTTGAAACATTCAAGTGAAACATACTGTTTGTTCTTTTTCTTTCGAAGAGAATGAAAGAGTTAGCATTATGTTAAAGTACACCCTTTTTAGCACAAAATTACACATAATTGAAACGTATTTGAAACATTATTACGTAAAAAATTAATAAACAGCAATTAAATATACCTTATATCTTTTAATGTTTAATTGTTTTTGTTGCAATTTATAAATTAAAAGTCCAAGGGTGAGCCCTAAAATGTAGCACGTCACATTTGTATGACCGCGCTTATACGAGTTGTTGAATGTTGGATCCTTGACGAAATATTCCCGAGCAACTCTGGAAAATTTTGAAGAATAGTAGTGTTGAAAAAAATTAAGCAAAAAGGTATTATATTTTGCAAAGTATATTGTTATAAAGCGGTAAAGAAAAAATATACAACAAAAAATCAACATAAGACAAGATAATATTAGATTATAATCAGAAACAACTAAAGTTCTTTAAAGCGGATTTTCTCACTCTGGACATGTAATTATATAATTTAAAATATTTTTATGTAAAGCTAAGGTATGGTGTGTTAAAAAAACAGTAACTTACTCAGGCGTAATAATAAGATGGGCGTATAAATCTTGAAAGTACGTGTGCAAGGGAGCGATGAACATAGAAACGACGAAAATGACCGACAGCACAACTTTTCTCTGCAGATCGGTTCTCGTCAATACCATTATTAACATTCCCAATATAAACAGCTGCATATCTGCAGCTAAATACCTGAAATAATAAATAAAATTTTAACAGTGGTAAAGTCTGTAGCAGCATTTTAAAGCACATAATGAAGATACAAAAAACAGTCCTGTTAGTGTCCGAAATGGAAAACATGTCTCTTATTCTTGATTGTCACGAGTTTTTCAACATATATATTTTTAATACTTATAATTTGATTATTATAATCTAATAAGAGACTAGAAGTTCTCACCAAGTATGCGCCATGCAGCGGGTGTTGTCAAAATAATTGTTTATATATAGCATGTTCTGCCAACCGTCCCTTTGACAGTCCTTTATTTCCTGTCCTATCATTTTCTGCCAAAGATGTATGAGATTGTTATTCATTACGGTAAGTCTCCAACATCGTAACATCAACATAGCAAACGATATCACAATCCTTCTTTCTTAAAAAAATAATACCGAAGATAATGTATGCAGGTGTCAAGACATTTGACATTCGCGGTTATGCCGCGTTACAAAAAATAATGAGGCACTTATGGGATTTGTGATAAATAACACGGCATTTCTTGTTTATGATTTAACTGGCTATGGCCCGCGACTCCGTCAGCGCGGAATTAAAGAAAAATTAGTTGCCTATGTGTCTTACCAGACTATATTCTATATGTATGCCAAATTTTATCGTAATCCATTCAGCCGTTCTAAAGATTCCTTCAAACAAATATAAGTAAATAATAAATGCATGTCGTTGAAAATAACATACTTGCCAAAGAGGCCCTGTTCCAGCAAATCTTAGCCACGTCGTAGTTATCGCCAATACAACTGCGTATGGAGGAGTTAGTCTGTTGGAAATAAATTAACGAAATCTTAAAACTCTTACAAATAAAACGAATACAAAGAAGAACTTTCAAAACAAGTGATATTATTTCCATCTCTAATTCAACATTTCATCAAAAAAGTGCGCACAGGATCGCATATTGTAGAAGGCATTGGGGAAGGTATAGAGGAAGGCACTGGGGAAGGCATTTCGCAAGGCAATGCCTGCCTTGGTTGATGATTAAATACATAAATCCTACCTTAACCACCTCAAAATTATTCTTTTCGGTATCATTTTCCATGTTACATTATTTTTCTCCGTAAATATTTGTAGATTAAAAGATAACAAACATCCAGAAATGATAAAGAATGTCTGAATCATCACAGAACCATCGATAAGCAAATGATATTGAATTTTACTGAATATCTGTAAAAAAAAATATGAGTTTTAAAATATTTTAAGGATAATAAAAAGGGTGGATTGTTTTTGTACAAATGCCTCGCATTTAGGTGAATGTTATAGTTAAAGTAAGGAGTCGGCAGACACCAGCACAGGTCACTCATTTAAGCCATTCTTGCAAGCGCTGACCTGGTTCACACTTTTCTTTTCTTTTTTGTTATATTATAAATCTGTGATATTTGTATTTTTTATCTTGTGGTAATAAATGTGTTTCTTTTCATCTTCATGCAAATATAATTTTTGTACTTACTGTTTCATAGTAATGCGTATTATCTATGGACGATCCAAATGGTAATAACGAATGTATCGTTATCACAAGAAATATAGTTATAACCCTGAAATTATAAAAAAAGAAATAATACATCACGTTATACATCCAACTTTTAGTAATTTAAGGGAACGTGCACATCAGCGGAAATATAGTTGCCGCGTGAGGTCGCGATTTTAATAAATAAATATTCTTTTATCTATTTCCTTAAAGAAAGTGTTGAATGAAGCGGACATCAGTACTACCATTATTTTCTGTACGTATTATTAAAATTGGAGTGTCTCTAATATTAAAAAAAAGGTTAAATATCATAAACATGATGTATTTACGTTGCTAATAACGAAAAACCGATTTTTAAATATTTTTTTTTGTCTGGCGCATGGCTGCGTTTGTCCAGATTAATCTCCGGAACGGCTTGATCGATTTTAACTTTGACGAGAATGTAACAGATGCACGCGGGCATATTATTTACTACTATTGAGTTTTTAAATTTTTTTCTGACGGTGTCGAGAGCAACCGCTTGTATACTATATTTATTTATTATATACCATATAATATACGTACTTCATGCCGTTAAAACTTTTAAAGCTTTTAATTCTGTTTTCAATTTTATCTCTTGAAACATCTGTTAATTTGAACCAGTTCCGCTTTATTGAGAAGCAAAGTAACCATTTCATACCTGTTAAATAAAAAAAAAATGAGCATTAACACTAAATTTAGCAAGAGTCACAGTGGTGAAGATTTACGATGAAAAATAATTTAAAAAATCTTACTATTAAATGTACAAATTCATTGTTTTAAAATATTTTTAATTACCTGCATCATTATTTTTTACTATCAGTAAATCGTAAACACTTCCAGCCAGGTTTATTATCAATAAACATAGACATATCACAGCGACACATATATCTTTTGTTTCTATATGATATATTGGATCTTTACTATTACATATAACATCTTCATTTATCCTTATTTTTAATTTATATTCCTTCCAAAATGTTGTATTCAAACATTTTTCAATAACTAAATTTAAATCATTTAAATCTATCGTTTTTGTTTTTAAGTCGTCGCACGATTTCTTAAAACAGATACCATAATGTAGCCGTGAATGATTGAAATGCGTTTCTTTTCTCGCGCTATATTCCTGTAAGACAATAGGCAATTTTTTATAGGAGAAGAGGGAAACAAGTAGGAGATCCCCTCATGTTAGTAGATACAAAGCCCAAGGTCATTCGTATCATTATAGAAACCGCAAATGCGTTACGGAGAGCGCCATGCCTTCAGATAATTAATATTAGGGCAAAGCCCCGCGTTTTTATTGCCGAGTTCTGTCTGTGAGTCCGTTCTGACAGACTGGGGCGGAGTGCATATTATTGCACTTATAAATTAAACCTTGCTTAAATCATTTTAAGGTTAATTTTATTTGCGATAAAAATCCGCTCTCCTCCCCAATCCGGTGTGTGTGAACGGACCTTTAGTAGCGCGGCTGACGTAATAAATGTGGCACTAGTAAGGCTAATATTTTTAAGGAAAAATTGGACATTTCAAGTAAATCTTACGTGTATCATATTTAGAAGTTGGCTATCATTTTCTGATACTAAATCAAAATCCACCATACAATAGATACCTCCTGTTTCTTGAATACATAACTCGTAAGGGTCAAGGTGGAATACTGGCGGCATTTTAATATATTCTGTGTCTGTAAATAAAAAAAAAATTAAAAAAATCGTTAGCTCATTGTTTTCATGCAGAAAACTCTTGGAGAATAAAGCATGGTTGTTGTTAGCAACTATTACATTTACTATACGTTTTGAATAAGTTTTTTTAAAATACGAGTTGGTTGTATTTTTATCTGAAGAATAGATAATATAAAGAAATATATCTGTTTTACTGACCCTACTTATTCAAAAATCAATTTACGATTAATCGATAAACTCATACTAAAAACTCCATCAATCTTACTAATATTATAAATGCGAATGTTTGGATGTATATAGTAATGTTTGTTACAAGGTATGTCCAGATAGATTGTATGGATCTCACTGAAATTTGGCAGACAGTCCGGAAGAACTAAAAGCTACTAAGTTTTTTTTTTAATTCCGCCCGAAAGGAGTCGTGGGCGAGAGTTATTATGTTACATATCTATGAGCGCACATTCTTGTAATTTATTTGAAAAGCACTACAATAAGGTACTATTAGGAAGACAATCCGACACTGCGCCGGTGTGCTGGCACAACACTCTTTACTAAAATGTCGACGTCTGGGTCCCCTTACTAATCATTCTAACGCTTAACTTTGTAATGAAAGCACGCCATTCGCGCCAAAGGATTGTAATTAATAAATATCTAAAAGTACTTACCATTTAACTGGTATATCACGCCAGATACTCGACAAAAGGTGAAAAATAAAATTATTAAAATCATATTTTAGTATTTATCACAGTTAAAACACGTTTTACAACGCAATTAGTTCATTGCTGACAAGTTTTGTTGAAAGACTGCACACAATAAAACGTGAACAAGAAATGATGTAAATCTGGGTTTCCACTGTACATGTTTACACATATTGTCTCTGTTTTATGAAAGAGAATGAAAGGGATATATTGTTAATATGTATTAATAAAAGTGCCGTGGAGTTGTAAGGTTATGCGTAATCGTGGGCCAATCGTGTCTTTTTTACAAATGTCTGTTCAGGTCAAGAACATCGATAATTAAACATCCTTTAAATATGATTAATAACTTGATTTTGATGTTTACGTTTTGCACAAATGTTTCGCCAATGGACATTTGCAATTGTTTTAGAAGTCACTGTTTTTTACTTGTAATAATTTTTTTACTCACACTTGAACTGTGTTTTGCGCGAATGTATACCTCCCACGAATTATATTACGATCTTGCAAATAAAAATTATAAGTAATGAAATGAAATAAATGTGTTTCATTTAATTTCGTTTCATTTCATTTCGTTATTTATAATTTTTTATGAAAGATCGTAATGTAAATCGTAAGGTCTTCATTTTACTATAATAATATAAATCAAATTGTTTTGATGAATGCATGTTAGAAGGTATCACCGGTACGGAACAACGGATCTTGATGAAATTTGGCACAAATAATTAATTTATGTCCTAACATAGTCTGGAAGAACTCATAGGCTATTAATCAAGTTTTTCCGGGCAAGTGAAAGCTAGTAAATAAATAATAGTAAATTAATATTAATTTTTAATTGAAATAAGAAATGCATTAATAATCATAATTTAATTTAGAAAAGACAGAGGGACAAAATGTCCGTGCTAAATCCGCGTAAAGCGATCTATGTGATATCACTCCACCAGCACGATCACTATGCCATAGTCTATGCGCGAACGCCTTTCTGTTGAAACTTCCCGATTGGTGAAAATAATGTGCGTTGTCACGACTTATCGGATGGAACAGCATATCTTCGACGATTTCAAAACCTGGAAAAAGGACGAATATGAGGAATGTTGTCTTTGTTTTTAAAAGATTGCTAAAGACTCTCTTCCCAGTTACTATCCTACTTGGTAGGGTTTTTTCAAGTCTCTAGAATTTCGTCAGTTGCTCAGAAGATTGGCAGAGCTTACGGATTTCAATTTGGTTTGGTCACACATCTAACGCCTCTTCCGTATCCATACCTTTACGCACAGATTTTCGGGTGCTCTTAATACCTTTTTTCGTATTTTTTTATATTGACCAAACCAGTGCTTGACCGCTAACCCACCCGGCAATAAGTGGCTATGTGATAGAAGGGACGCACTAGCTTAGTATAAAAGTTATAACTGGACGGAAACACTGACGCAGGCAATTTATTCTTGATAAGTCTAAGATGACACTTTCGTGTTATTTAAATTGATAGAATACGTACCGTAACATGGTTCTACTTGCTTCACGCTCAAGTCCCGACCCGGACACAGGTCTGAGACTGCTTGAGTCAATGCCAGACTACCGTTGATGCTTCCTTTTAATATTTGATCACTGAGGAGTCTAAAATAAATATGACGAACGAATAATATATCAACGAATATATGTCTATGTTATAGATAAATTTTGAACTTCGACAGTTTGGATCGACCTAGACTTGAAAAGGACCCAGAAATCGAAATTATTTTCCCTTTTCCTACTTACCTTTAGAACCCAACAAAAATGCCTTTAACTTTATTGACAACGTTTAGTAAACTAGTTTACGAGTAAACTACATAATAGAAATATTCACCTCAATATATTGGCTGTAATATTTCGACCAATACTAGATCTTCTTATAGAGATAGCGTCTGTAGCCAACAAACCATCTCCATTCTTTACCAGCCAATTGACTCCTAAATCGTCTAGCGGCTTATTAACAATAACATCCAACTGTAGTACTGTACCACCGAACTTGTGCAGAGTCAAGAATTTAATGTACTCCGCTATTTCTTTATGATTACCTAATCTGCTATGAATTAAACCTTTTTTCCAGAATTCTTCGAATTTTGTACCATCAGCATAGCTTTGGACATGGATGCCGACTAAACGGAAATTATCAAACTTCACCAATTGATCCAAATGGTCACTCCAAGTGCTTCGAGATATCGCACTAGTGTACAACAGATTAATCTCAGTGTCAGGATGCAATCTCGCAGCGGCTTCGATTGCACAAGCTTCGTAATCTTGAACTATTTTATTACAAGATGTTGAATGAAAAAAAATCGATTGTGGTGAAAAGAAACTGGCTCTTGATATATTTACGTTGTTCTCGTTTCTCTTTCTATGACATTCTGTATCTTTGGCAGCGGAAAGACGAGATAATGGATTGACGAGGAAGAAATGCGTTGTGTTATGAACGTGCAGGAATACAACACACGAACTAAGCAAGTTTCCAATGAATAACAAAATGCCAGCTATGTAAATATATCTTATTGACCTGTAACGCATTTTTCTATTTATATTAATTCAATAAATAAAACTGAGGAATAGCAAATTGGTTTAAAAATAAAAGTCAAAATTGACAGCCTTTCAATGAATTTCGTCATTTTATTCTTCTTTACATATTTTATATAGATATATTTTTATAGATTTACAAAGATTTCCATGAACTAACGAGTTCGTATTTTAGTGATGAAATAAATTAAATTTCAAATAAATAGATAAATGTTATTTTTTTTTACTTATATAAATTATAACGAGTATCTCGATTAGAAAAAAATTACCGGATATTTGAGTTAGGACTTTATAATAAAACACATTGAAATATTTATATTATTTTATATTAAATAAACGGACTATTCCTTGAACTACATTATCCTGTTCAATGACAAAACAGAATTTGAATCGATTGCAATTTAAACGTGGGTTTCCACTGTTGAAACTCAAACTACTGACCTCCAGACATCCGAAGGACAGATGTGGTTTAAAAATAAGTTTGCTTCTTTTCAGCTTAAAAATGCCAATCGAAGTTACTGTTGGCTAATGCTTTTTCTATTAGTTTATGTTTCCAACACACATGTCAGCATCAAAATGGTGAAAATCAAGTTGGCACAAAATACTTCACATATAGCCTGTCCAGTGTAATATTGAGGTCAGTGACCTTCTTTACGTAGGTTTTGGAGACTAAAATCTCTGTATAAAGCATAGATATAGTTTTAAACAGGAATTTGCGTCTCAGAAAACCCACAGTCACTTCCTTTGCAATATGTTTTCAATAGTGGAAATCAAGGGTAAATTAAAAAAAAACTAAAGTTTATTATTTAAAGTAAATTAAAGTTCAAATTTGTTCTTCAGATCAAGAATATCTTCTTCGGCAGATTTCTCCACATTTTTGCAATGCTCCAATAGTTTGTTCAGACCTGGAATTTAAATTATTTATTTCCACACAAAGCGATTAAAAACAGCATTTAACAAACAAAAAAAAAGTTGTCTAGACATACAGACAGACAGACGGATGGCTATAAGGGTTCTATTTTTTCCTTTTGAGCTGCGGAGGCCTCAAAATGAAAGTATACTTACATTGTTTATCTGTAGTAGAGAGGAACATTGCTAAAGCGGAAAACCTTTTAACTCTGACCAATCCTTTCAGATATGCGGTTACAGTTTTCTCGCTAAACACTTCCATATCTTGTGACAAAATCTGAAGAATCTCGGACAATACATCACTTTCTAAAGCATTCTCAAAGATTGATGGTATTTTTGTCGGTTCAATTATCTGTAAAAAAACACATTTCAAAATTATTGCCTATTAAAAAAATATATATATGTAAAATATTGCAAAATGAAAAAAAAAATCCACAATTTTTTCAATTTTGCAAAAAATGTAAGACAAGTTAAATATATATTTTTTAAAAATTTTTAGTTTTAAATTTGATCAAATATTTATCAAATATTTCTAGCAAAAAAGTTGCTCTAATTTTGGGAATTGGTATAAAAATTTTTGTCTTTAAAAAAAAAAAATCTTACACTCATATATTTGCTTCTAGCTGTATTATTTCCTTTTAAATTCTTCCATTCTGCCATAAATTGCACACTATTGACCGGGGGCACTAAATCCCGAATGCACTCCTTTTCCGATGTCACCTCATCAATAATCAACTTTAAAGATTCCGGAGTTACATTTGAATCTCCATCTCCAATCTTATCTTTTACCTTTAAGTCATTTATCTTCAAAGATTCTGCAATTATGTTATCTTCATTTTCTACTTTATCTTTTACATTTTCATCTTTTATCTTTATAGATTCCGAAGTTATGTTTGAGTCTCCGTCTTCAATCTTATCTTTTGTCTTCCCACTAACTTTTGTCACTTTGGTTTTATTTGAATCAATAGTGTTGCTATCACCTTGAGCTTGATTATCAATTTCTATGATTTTCATACGAGTTGCAGGTTTCTCTGAACATTTTTTGCCTAAAGTTATTTCTTCTATGGTTATAGTTTTTAAGGCTCTCTAGAAAAAAATATTTCAAGAATTAAAATTTGTATAGTATTGAAATTTAGCACATATGTTTAGAAAAAAAAGTCATATAAGAAGAAAACATTCTGCCAAACAACAATTGTATATAGAAATATTTCTCCATAGATGTTTTGGAGTTGAACAAACGATTACTTGAATATTTCCTGTCTAATAATCTTATTATTATTATAAATGCCAATATTTGCATGTATGGTTGGATGGATGGATATTTGTGAGGTAGCTACAGAACGGCTGAATGGATTTCAGTGAAATTTGGCATAGATATAGAACATAGTCTGGAAAATAATAAGGCTAAGTTAAGGCTACTAATTAAGATTTTTTTTTTAATTCCGCACTGACGGAGTTGCTTGCGACATCTAGAGCGAATAAGTGGCAGTGTAATTTCTAGGTTAGGAATTAAAATAGAATTAATATTTTATCTTTAATACCTTAGACCTCAAATGTGGTGGTTTCTTCACTGGCTTCATAACATTAATGTCTTCTCCTTCACCCGTCTTCCACTTCTCCAAAGCAGTCTTCGCGGGTGTTGTATCAAGAGTTGGTCTATTACCCAACTCTACAATCTTTGGAGTCTTTGGGCAGTTGTTTTGTTCTGCGTTCGGCGATGACTTTGATTTAGACTGAAATTTTATAAAATATAATACAAGGCCATATTTATCTCGCTTATAGAGTTTGCTCTCTACCCAAAGTTTCTCGCTTATGGAGGACTATAGGGACCTGACAATATCTTCCGCTTATAAAATTTTCTCACTTATTCTGGCTTGATTACACAATCAAACATTATAAAAAAACCGTCGTTGACAATAAAATATCAAAAGATATTAATACTTAACACAAGGTCATAAGGTTCAAAATGTTTAATTTCAATATTATACAAATTCACAAGTTCACTTACTCCTTTAGTTCCCATACGTATCTTGATAGCTTCTAGTTGTTTCTTAGCGGCAGTATTCCGGGGCTCCAGAGATATGACTTCAGTGAGGTCAGCGGTTGCAGCACGGAGAGACCCCAAGCGTTCTCTTGCGGTGGCACGACGCTGTAATGCCTTCACATATGTGGGGTCTATGTTGAGAGCTGCTGTACAATCAGCCACTGCTTGATGTAGACTGAAAGTAGTTGTATTGTAAATATTTTCACATTTGTAGGTGTTGTATGCATGCAACAATAAAAAAAAATATAAAAAAATGCCACTATAAACAATGGTAAAATAAAGCTGACATCTTTGGATTACTATGGTAAAAATGTAATTTTAAATAATATTTTATAATGTAATATAGCAAACAATTTTATTATTATGTTTCAGTTGACTATGGCCTAGTCACCCTTAACTTAGGGTAGGCTCCGAGTCCCTCGGTGGGGACGTATAGTGAGCTGATGATGAATAAAAATGACCATTAAACAGCTGATACCAAACAATCAACTGTAGTTGATTTTTAATAATTTTTGTATACATATTAATTCTCTCAAAATCAAATAAGAAATAGAAACTAGCAAATAAAATAAATCATGAAATATTCTCCACTTACTTTTCATCCACATTTGGACTAGAGTTTTGTTGCATGTTAAATAAATAAACAATTATTTCAGACATATTTATATATGTAAATAACTTACAAACATATAAACTATATATATTTATACATAGACTATTATATGTTGGAAATGCAAATTTTGGTTGTTTACAACACATCAAACATGAACATACAAAAGACAACTAAAATCTGCAGATCTTTGTAACACTACATTTAAATTTATACAAACATTAGCATTTCTACTAATTAAAAAAACATCTAATATATAAGAAATCTTTCTATTGTGTATACCGCAGTGATCTACATGTATGTATGTTCCTGGTTATTTAATTAAGGTACACTGAAATATGCACAAACTTTTACCTGTCTTTCTTGAGATAACACAGCCCTCTGTTAGCATAGTATATAGCGTCATCTTTGATCAGCTCAATAGCTCTGTTGTAACATTTGATCGCTTCATCCCATTTCTCTTCCTTAACAAATGCATTGCCCTGGAAAAAACAGTAAAATACAAATGGTTAATTGGAACATCAATATTGCTGGAAAGAATAAATACATTACTGTTTTTATATTCATTTAACAAATAAAATAATAATAAAAATGTATATTAGGGTCATATATTATCACAATGTTGCACTACAGCATAATTATAGCACAAAAAAACCCTTACAAAATTGGACTCTGTGTGTCTTTTCTCCTGAGTAAACCAATATCATTAATATGTCTTTTTTTGTTACTTACCCTCTCTTTTTCATACTGTGCTTCTTCACGAAGCTTCTCCTGCTTGTCTTTTTCACTCTTCTTGCTATCTAAGGACACTGGTCCGATTTCAGCCATATCTACTTCTTCACATGCTTTTTCCTAAATATAATGCAAAACATAGCATAGTATAAATTTTAATATCCTGATGTTTAAAGTAGTTTACAAGTAATTTTAATGATAAAGTCGGTAAGTAAAGGAATCATTTAAACATACAACATCAAATTTTTCCCATGCTTGGTAGTCCGATGCAGCAATCCTTTTTTCTGGCTTCTTCTTTACTTCTACTGGCCTCTCTCTTTTTATTTTACTTCTCACAGGAGGCAAATCCTAATAAACAGATATTTTAGTGTTGAACACAAGTATATTTGAATAATTAATACGTGCTGTCAAAATTTTAACTCAGATTCCATAAACTAAAACATACATTTACTAGCTTACAATAAACTAAAATAAGACATTATGATCTACAAAAATGTCTAAATTATCGTAAAAAAAAAACTAACTAAACATAAATACAGACATGAATATAATGATTTAAACCTTAACAAAATCACCGTTAAGCGCGGCCTCTTTACGTTTCATTTCTGTCTCCCAAGTTTGCAAATCTGTTAGATATGTTTGGAAAGTCTTGGCATTATCTCGAACGCTTTTCTGAATCTCAAACGCTTTTTGCATTATATATTAAAGTAAAACTATTACTTTTACTTTACCTGCAGTTTGATCAATATACAATTTTCTGTTCACAATATCAATTGTCATTTGTCATCTTGCTCAGTTGTCAATTGTCATGGAACTCGATTCGTTCAAAAACCTACTTTGAATTTTAACTCCAAATATTCGTTTATAAATTATGGAAGAAAAAAATGTGTAAATATTTTTGTACCTTGAAATAATAATAATAAAATCTTATATTAAATTACGAGTCCAAGTTCGGCAATTTTATGTAATTGCTAGCCAAATCAGCATCAAATACGGTGAGGTATAAAAAAGGTCACCTTCTCATAACTCGGTCGATGAATGCAAAATTATTTTGCATTATATTAAAACTGCAATAGTAAAATTCACTAAGCTGTCGTGAAACAATGCTAAAATAGTATTTTATAGTGAAAATGTAATCGTTTTTAACCACATAAGTCGAATTAAATTGGCTTATTAGTAAACAGAGGTCTGTAACATAGTCCTACGTCTCGTGACATGTTAAGTTGGCGCAACGAACGTGAGGGAGCGTCTGTTCGAACTTTATGCCAAGTTTCGATACACTCGTGACCATCTTTGATTTATAGAGGACACAAAATAATTGACTATAAAGTTATTCCATAAATTATTTTAGAGGATGTTATGGTTTGTAATTCAAGAGCAAGCGAGTGGTATGGTCATTTTAAATTTGCGGATTTCCGGTTAATAATGCGTAACGAAGATGTATGTTTATTTTTTTATGGAACAAATTTATTACAAATTAGTATTTGGGTAAGCTTTATGTTAGTCAGCGCTTGTACATGAGTTTTATTTTTAAGTTTACACAATCTACTATACATTAAAAAACCACCCTGGAATTTATATCTGGTTCTTCATATTGTATTTTCTGATAGATTAAAAACTATGTCTGTAGAATATATTACGTTTTTTTTAATTAGATCAAGAGAAAGTAAAGATCTGAATTCTCAGATTATTTTATTTAAGGAACGATATTCTGATGCAACAATTATATTGCTTTTCTTATTTGCAAGTGTTACGGAACTCTAATATTCCACATCCGTGATAAACACTTGAAATAAATAATAGAACGAATAGGATTATTGAATTAAAATTATAAAAACAAACTTACAATTGATGCTCGACTGAGATAATTAGATGTTATTGATCACCTAAATTCTATTTGATGTTATGTTTTTGTCCGAATTCGTTTGAAAAAAAAACTATTGACAAACTTGTTTTAAAAAATTTACTACTTCTTTACAATGAATTTTTTAATCTGACAGATCATTCATTAATAATAACCAGACATACAGGATGTTCTTTTCATATAGGAAAAGATCCTAATGAGCAGAATTGAGCGTCTGTGTCAGAGTTTTGAAATTAAAAAAAAGATAATAACACGGAATACACTTTGATCATAAAATATTTTTATTTAGTTCAGTGGAATCTGATATTCTTGACAATTGTTTTTTGTTTTACAAAACCAGCTTCTTGTTTTCGTCAAGTTCAAGGTAAAAGTGTTGAACGTCCAAAAATAAAAAATTCAAAACATGTCTAGTTTACATCCGAAACAATAACTTGTTTTAGGGTCATTGACATTTTGATGTTTATGAGGTAATTCGGAAAACATAACGTCGTGAGAGTTCGCTTAAAATGATAATGCCGAAAATATTTTTTTTTCATAACTGGTAGGCTCTAATTTGTTTTTAGTGTCTTATTAAAAAAAAACGATCCAAATATATTCCTTGTCACCGTAAATAAGCCAAATGCTAATTTTATTATTCTCGGATTTTAAATAACCTATTATTTATTTAGCCCATTTATGACTGGAGGGGACAGAAGTGAAATCTCGAATGAATTCACACAAAAGATTTAAACACAAAAGGATTAAATGTTAACTACCCACGCGGTCTGGTAACTTTAAGAAAGTGTTGACTATAATTGTTCCATTGCATGACAGAGAAAAAAGTTTCAACATGAAAACTAAAAATATCTTATATTCTTAAATATATCCACCAACACATTCGTATTTATGTAACTTAATATTATAAATGAGAATGCTTACTTGCATGGATGGATGTTTGTTTGAAGGTATCCCCAGAATGGCTACATTAATCTCGCTGCAATTTGGTATGGACGTAAAATATAGCCTGAAAGAACACATAGGCGCGGGCGACAGCTAGTTTATAATATTAATAAGGTAAGTAAGCTAACAGTTTATAAAATGTCTCGCTAAATTTTAAACAATTAAGGATTGCCAACATCACATGATAATGTAAAAAAACATGTATTTTTGCGTAACATACGTTGTACGGTTATTGGCAGTTCATCTCAGTACAGTAATATAATTTAACGTGAAAGTAGTCCGACGCCCTTGAAACGTATGAAGATCGTAAACATTTAGTTATGTTCTTGCAATAATAAAATCACGTTCTTCGGAAGGTGAACGCAATATTCATCAGGTTAATTAGACGATAAATATTATCAAAGCGATGACGGACTATTTATTTTAATTATTTTATTACTAACTTTATAAGAGTACCAGCTATCGCTCGCGACTCCGTCCGCGCGGGAATAAAAAAGTTAATTAGTAACCTATGTGTTCTTCCGGACTATATTTTACGTGCCTGCTAAATGTTATAGCGATCCGTTGAGCCGTTATGGAGTTACCTTCAAACAAACATCCATCGATCCATCCATCCATAAGATAGTTCAATAGACCACTAGTGGGTAAGGATTACCAATATGATAGTCGCAGGTTCGAATTTTGCCATTCGATTCCTCATGAACCATATTCGGGCAAAGGCTTTAGTTAACACTATCCCGTAGCCTCCCACAATATTGCTATGAGGGAACAGGGGATTAGTGGGTATGCTCCCATTCGGGGAGAGAATTCCATATAACTACCGTGCCTTCCCGAGGCACGGAGTATGCTTAAAGCATTCCCCTCTGAAAAAAAAGGCAAAAGCTTTCAGCTTATTTTTAACGAAAGAGTCTAACTACACAGTTACATTAAGATGTGTGTGTCTTACCTTAAATGGCTAAGGAAATAAATAGAGTATACATATTCCATGACATAAGAAGTATATCGAGATATGAGCTATTATCAATCATTTGCGGATGGCCAACGAACCGCGACAATTTGTCACTTCTGTGGTAACTAATGGTGACCGTTACACAGCCTGTCACAAGCATGCGATGTTATCTAAGCATCGTGAGGTAAGATATTTGTGTAACGGGATGCTTAATATATCGGTAAGTTAAGAGTTTGTATTTATTTATGTTGTTCCAATCTGTACTCTTGTTATTTTTAAAATTTCATACACAGCAGTACAGCTCACTGGAGATGACTGGTGACTAATAATTGTCCATCCTTTTAAACTTTGATATTTGTTATTAAGATAAAATATTGGTATGTAAAAAGTTGTATATAATGTCGATGGCTGGTTAAGTGTCATCCTGAGTTCGAATCCTTGTACCAATGTGTATTTCTAGGTACATATATACATTTATCTGACATTCTTAATGTGAAGGAAAACATCTTGATGCAACCTGCACATATCTGCGGAAAAAACCCAAATGTTTCTGAAGTCAACCTACACTAGGCCAGCGTGGTTAATGGCCTCGTCACCCCTAACTTAGGGTAGGCTCTAAACCAATCAATACAAAAGTATAGTCAGCTGACGTTGACGCAAATATGCCATAGCCTATCATTATAAGTTGACAGATATCATAGAGTAATGTGTCTTTTCATTCGTATACAAGACGTGGTGTCAAAGACTAGGTTACCTCTTTATAAATTAGTATTAATAATTTTGACATAATCAAATGTGCACTCAATAAGTATACGTCAAAGATATAAGAAAATTTAAAGGGACTTGAATACCTTGAATTCATTATTAAAACAATTGTGATAAATATAAAGAAATAAACTATAATCGAAGATATACAATAAAACAAGACGATTTTAAATGTTATGAAAGTTACAAAAAAAAATTTAAAACGTGATATTTTATATTTAAATAACTTCAAATAAACAAATAAAAAGTGTTAAGATTTAAACTGACGAAATAAGAACAAATGAAGGTTATTTCATTTTGCAACATTCTTCTGTAAAATTTATTTAATAAATATAAAAAAAACTGACCAACAAAATGTAGTTAGCAAAACACATAAATCGGATTATCAGTAAAGATTTTTTTTAATTATAATCCTGATAACAAAAGACATACATACAAAAGCAATACAATACTTAAATTATAATAACTAAGTTTAGTAAAGACATGTCTAATGTATAAATAATAGTTACCTATTTGGATTATTTGCTAATACGAATAATATTGGCAATAAATACAGTCGTTAAAAGATAATATTAATACTCATTTTCAATTATTCATTCTAAATGTAAGAATCTTTTTGTTATTAATCTTAGTTTTTTGAAGTTGAAATCCTAAGCACTTTTGTATAGTTATAGAATGATGACTCTACCGCATATACCACGGGGAGTGCTCGGAAGAATTGTTTGGAACAATTCCTGCCGCCCAGTTCCGTCATCGGACGACACGACAGACCGTCAGGTTCCATACACACCACCTGGATGGCTGGCATTCCACAACGGTGCGATTCTCGCGCAACTTCTTGCCTCGCACAGCCGCGATGTGGAACGGTCTGTCCGCGGCGGTATTTCCAAACCAATACGACTTAGGATCCTTCAAGAAGCGAGCCTATCACCACCTCAAAGGCCGGCAACGCATCTGCGGTTCCTCTGGTATTGCTGATGTCCATGGGCGTCGTTGAACACCTCGGTGTTCCCGCTGCTCGTTTGCACCCTTCTGTTATAAAAAAGAAAAATGAAACTTAAAGCGAATGAATCTTACTTCTTACTAATATTATAAATGCGAATGTTTATATGGATGGCGGGGTGGATCTCGCTGAAATTTGGTATAGACGTAGAATATAGTCTGGAAGAACATATAGGCTACTAAGTTTTTTTAATTTCGCGCAACCA